TAAAAAATAAAAACCATTTATGTCAATATTGAAAAAAAGTATTTGCAGACTTATATAGAACGAAATTTGAAGTTTAACAGGAAGACTTAATTTGGAAAAGGAAAGCACTAAAACTTAATATATTCTTGTTTTGTTATAACCAGAATACATGGAGGAACGAAATATTTTGTCAGAATATTTTTATATGATACTTGCTATTGAATTTGTAATACTTTAAAATAATTTTCGCGCAACACTATTCATATTCAAATAAAACTATTTTCACTCATATTATATATAAAAATAAAAAAAAATAGTTAAGTGTCTTATTTGACAGGGTATAGGCTAAGTAATTAAACTAAACTTGTGATGTTATATGCATCTACCATTTCATTAGCTTTTAAAAAGCCGCATTACAGACAGAAATTTAGAAACTTATAAATTATTAGTGTAGGATGGAGCATCATAAATAAGAAACGAGAATTTCCAATCCCAATTCTTTAAAATTAATTCAACTAAAATAAATTCATATAACTAATTTTCAATTTCTATAAAATTAAGACATTCAAATAACAGCTAGACGAAGAAATTGTCAAATAATAAAGTGTAGCATTTGTAGAACATTTTAGAGATAAAGCGAAATGGTTTCTGTTTACTCTAAACTGATAAGAGTAGAATATTATGAAACTTCGAAAATCATTGTCTTTTTATTTTTTTACAAGACCTACCAACAACAAAAACTCAAGTCTCAAGGGTAGATAGCGAGGAGAAAAAAAATTATCAGATGACTTGTGACGCAAAGAAATAAAAAAACATTCTAAACAAACTATTTTTTGATGACTCAATTATGACTATATTAAATATCAGGATTAAGTAACAAATTTAAGGTTGAAAACAATGTAGATTTGGCTTAATCTCTTTAATGATTGGAATCAGTGACGTTGTTTAGTGTTACCTAATACTTTCTATAGAGAATTACTAATAATCGGTATTTCTGATAGATTACTTCGGAAACTTTAAGCCCGTTAATATATCTTTTTTTTCTTTTCTGTTCTTTCAACACGAGTAGTGAAAATTTTAGTGCCACTTCGAAAACTAGAATATATATTGAGAAATTAGAATACGCACTTTATTTTACTTGAAGTGAGAAATGATAGTTATCAGTATTAACTTCTCCTTGATGCTCAACTCAAACACTGCTAAGATAAAAATCACATTTAATCTTTGCAGTCTTTGATTATAAAGTTAAATTAATCAATTTGATTGTTCAGATATAACTTGATAATTAAGTTAAAATTCAGGGTTTAGTAACGAATTTAATTTAGGGAAATGACCTTTTCATCTTTCAATTTGAAGTGTTTATTAGGATAATATTGAGCCGTATTTAAATCATTCGATTTTCTTAGGTTCCTTAAAAAGAAAAATATAGCTAAGTTTCGCCGTTTTTCATAAGTTTTAGTAAAATAAAAAAAATCAACTATAAATTACACACTTAACCAGATATTTGCATCTACATTTATAACCTTGTACATTTTTTTTAAAGCATATCGCTGTCATTAAGGTCTTCCAATAAGAGTTAGATTGACAAGTGGCATATAAATAGCTATAAAAGAGACAAAAAGGCCTTACACCGTAGCTCATAAAAATTAATGCGAGATATAAATTTAGATGGATCTTTAAATAATGAATTAAATAACGCTGATTCAAATTAATTTCCCCTGATTATAAACAGACTTAGAGAAAATTAAAAACTTTCTGCTTACACAAAATCTCAATTAAAAAACTCTCTGCACACATTGATTAATATTAATTGAGCCAAATTTGAATAAAATTAGAAATTATAATTTTGTTTGTTACCTATTCTATCAATTAATTAAAATCTTAAATATTTGATAATTTTTTTAAAAATAAAAATTCAACATATTTTTTTTCCCGGTTTAAAGTTCAGTAATTAAACTTTTATTTTAGTTTATTTTTGCTTTCTTACTGTTTTTCTTTAAAAAGTAATATTTTTAAAATTTCTGAAATATCAACATAGTAAAAATCATAATTGCATTCAGTTTTTTTCTCTTATATCCAATGAAAATATAGAGATTTTTTAAAAGCGTTAAGTTTTGACTTTATTTTTAAGACATTTTTAAAACATTTATCACACAAATTTTTATTTTTAAGTTTTGTTGATTCATTAAGTTTCAGTGATTTTCAAGTTTCAGCGATCAAACTTTTTTGGTAATATGTTAGGTGTATTGGAAATTAATGTAATTTTTATTACAATAAATTGTACAATATATTTTAAATAGTTTTTATTTTATTTTAATCAATGATGTTAAGTCCACGTAAGCAGAAATCTTTTGCTATCTAGACTACAAAATTTAAAAAACGGATTGAAAAAAAAAATTCCTATTTTTGAACATAGAATCAGGGACAGGTATTTTTGAAATGTTATAGCGATCACAAAGTATGAAAAGCTGATTGAAATAGTCCTACCTTTGTTCATTAAATTTTACACACTTATTCAAGACGTGCTGTGCAAAACATTCCGTAAAAAATAGTGAGTAGGGGTGGATGAATGAAATAAAAAAATTAACTTACATAATCAAGTAAGAAACTTTTGAATGAAACATCTGTATACATTTGAATAATCCAATGAGTACTCAATACTCAAAATTTGAGCAAATTTAGAGTTTTATGCAATATTTTGTTCTTGTTTTATACTTTTCTATGTTAAAATATGAAGCAAAACATAATGTTTTTACCTTATCAGATTTGTTTGATCATTACCAAATAAAATAGTTTCAAAATATAAAAAGGCAAGATTTATAATTGTATGCAAATACTCTCTTTTCATTTGAGAATATCAGGCATAAATAAGTAGATGAAAATGTAAATATAATGTAGATATCTAATATTTTTATTGCTCTTCAGAAATTGATTAGAGTAGAAGGAAATTGTTTTCGATAAATTTAATTTAAATTACATTACATGGATATCTGCTACATTTCAGATTTTCAAATCCATGAAATTTCATGCCTTTCCATAAATTTTTCATGACTTACAGAGTTAACTATTTTCTTCGACAAAAGCACAATAAAGATAAAAAAGAATTATGATAGCATTAATTGAACTGATAGGTATAACTAAAACTGTTATACTCTGCATCTTCATTTTTATTGATTACAAATTTAAAAAAAAGAGTAGTAAAGAAAGAATTGAAGCGAAAGAACAGTTGAAAAAAATACAAAAGCAAATAACTAAATACAGTCAGATATATGTAGTTATTTAAAGCTGTTGTATTTCTTCTTAAAAGTAATAAATTTTATATAGCAATTTTGACTAATATATGGAAAAGGCCATCGTTTCCAAAATTTCACAATAAATGTAGATTAAATAGTGTTACTTTTTATCATGAATTCAGTAATGCTAGAATTTAGAAATAATATGATTGTCAAAATTTATTAGAAAAANAAAATGAATATTAATCATGAATATAAGCTTATAAAGTATCTCTCTGACTCTCCCTTTCAAACAAATAAAATAAACTGTGTTTTTAAGTTCCACTTTTGAAAATTTGATTTCCGGGAACTTCAGCGATCAATGATTTTTTGAAACGTCACCTTCGATCTCCGGAAACTTCCGGATCACTGTTAGCGAAAAATCCGGAAATCCGGATTTTTTCCGGAGCACAATCAGCCCTGTGTAGATTAAATAGTGTTACTTTTTATCATGAATTCAGTAATGCTAGAATTTAGGAATAATGTGATTGTCAAAATTTATTAGAAAAAAAATTACTATTTCAAAACTGATTGACAGTTAACATGATGCATGATGACTATTTGAAAATTAAAATCTATGAAGATACAATTTACCATTAAAATCTATTTGAATAGCACGCCTGCACCAAAACTCACTACTATGCTATTGCAATGAAAGAAAATTTAGTCTTCACACACTATAAAAAATAATAATTATTAAAAATTGCTAGCAAATTTTAAAACTTTGTGATTATAGCTTCCAAAAAATGAATTAATTTAATTTGTTTCCACACAAAGGTCATTCCAACTTTATATGAAGGTAAATAATTTAAGCCTAGTTCTTTACTAAATAATGGTGATTTTAAAAATGATACATTTTGGTGCTAATCTTTGTTGGACAATTTTCCGATTGTTCAAACAAAAGACATATTCATATGAAAAGAATTGTTATTAAATTGTTAGTTTAATCAAGAATTTAACGAATTCAAAATATAAGCTTCAAAAAGATTTGATAACTAATACAAATTGTGTATGAATACAAATAGCTCTATTTCTTATCTTCATTCTAATTATAAAATGCGATACTAATTATGACAAAATTTTCAGGCGCCTTTAGAAGTCCTATTGTGAGTTTGAAGACTGGAAGTTATGTGATCCAAAAATAGGAGAAAAAAATGGGGAAAATTAAACCTTTTAAAATAAATTATAAATTAAACCAAATATTATTACTTGGGTATATTCTCATTTAACTGTTCCAGAACAGTAAACTATCTCAACCTAACACAAACTAAACTTATCAAGCAAGAATCATTGAAGCAAGAATCATTGAATCAATAAACTATTGAATAAGTAATTCTATTAAAAAGGTTTAAAATTTGTTTCATTTGGAGGGATTAGAATAACTGTCTTTTCAAGAGTCTTCAACAATACTTATTACCTAAATGACATAAAATTCCAATAATAGTATGACTTATAAAAGAACTTCGGAAATTAGTATGAATTAATGACAATTATTCGATTATTAAAGAGCAGCTCAGCAAGACCAAATCAGTCAAGCCAATATTTCGATACCCAAAACAAAGCAGGTTAAATACAATTAAACATTTATGCTCTTCAAATATAAAACATTAAATGTCAGACAGTTATTAATATGCAATAAATTTCATGCTAATCTTCTATAACAACATAAAACAATGCACACAATTCAATGCATGATAATAGTTTGCAAAAAAAATAATAACTTGTCGTAAATAATAAATAAAAACATACCGGCTCACTTTCAGAAAAATTTTTGGCATATTGAATGAATAAAATAACTTAAGACAGAGGACAGAAAAAGATGAGATGAAATAACTATAACGAAGACATTCAAATTACGGTACTAGCTAACTTCAAGACTAACTCAAAACTAACAAGGTTCAAAAAACCAGACAAGCTGGAGGACGAAATAACCGGAATATAGCAGAGTTGAGATGTTTTAGAACGTGTCACAGTCCATTTCATTTCTAGGCGCGTTTAGAAAGAAGAAAATTTTTACATTTAAAAATGTTTTATCGTATTAGATAAAGTACTTTTTAAGTAAATCTAGACTATCTTATCATCAAAAAAGGTGTACTTTAACCAGTGGTAAAATAACGAATAATAGAAACGCGTATTGGGAAATTGTGACGTATTTCTTATCGTATTTTTTGTGACGTATTCTTGACGCAGCATTGCAAAACACAGATAAATTATATTGCATAGATTAATAATTTCCGAAACGATTCTTATCCCTTTTTACGCAACTGTAAACTTTGCTTCTTTTTACTACTTGTCAAAGAATCTTATGAATCTGAAACTAAACAAAAAGAAATATTGGGTAAAAATTAGTGGCGTACGAATAGATATGCGCATACGAATTCCCATTACATTTTGCGTACAATATTTTGCTAAAGGTGTTTCAAATCAAAATTTTCAATTTTTGGAAAAACAAAAGTCATATTAATTTGACACGAAATTTCTGTTGATACCTCAAAAACTTGAGTAATTTTTCTTTTCTAAAGCACTTATTCACAGAATCCAATTAAACCGCACACTTACATACTTACTAAGTTCTTTAGCACTTGATATTGTCAATTCTATTGCAGGAGGAGACTTGACATTTCGTTCATATTAAAATTTTGATAGGTTTTTTTAGATAAAAGTAAATTTTAGGAATCAAGTTACATTTTAATCGTGATGTATAATCTAAACTTAAAAAGAAATACCACATTGGAATTCAAGACACGAACATAGAACCCTCGATGCTAAATGTTTGACAGGTGTAGCTAGAAACTAGGTGTGTTCAAAAAATGAAATTGTTATGCAAATTTCCGGAACATGCGAAAAAAACTTCGAAATTCAACTACCTCTTGACTTACTCCTTATAAATATGTGAAATTTTACTTTTGGCTTATTTATTTTTTTACATTCTTTCAAATTATATCGGTGTTTTCAAATGGTACTACAAACTAAGCCTGACACAAAAGTAAGAAGACAAAAATAAATGAAAATTAAAAAAATAATTTTCATTCGGCAGAGGATCAGCTTGAAAAAAATTTCTTTATAACTATAATTTTTTTAATCAAAAAATACTGTATGAAAAAATGTGTGGAATGAGCTTTTGACTATGCAAACCCTCGGCAAGGTACCCCAAGATTGAATTGAGTCAGCATGCCTTATATACTAGAGAATTGGTGTTTAATAACCGTAATGGCAGTTATGCTACATTACTCACCCACGAGAATTTTGTCAGCGATAGAATTCGATGAACGGGCACCACTAGTTGTGTCAACGTGAATTTTGCGAAAGACTGGGAGAGCTGTATTAAGTTCACCGGAATTTGAGTGCTTGTGGTGAGAGCTGTATTAAGATCGACGAGTTTTGAGAGTTTGTCACGAGAGCTGTATTAAGTTCACCAAATTTTGAGTGCTTGTAGTGAGAGCTGTATTAAGTTCACTGTTGTGTGTGCGATCCCTCCTGTGTTGCTACTAGCAGTCGAGTGATTGTGGGATCCCATTGTGTGTAAATGAGACTGAGAAGCAACAGAGCTAGGAGGACGATGAAATAGTCACAAATAGCGAGTCGTCAACTGCTCAATGTGGACCATCCATCAAAGTGTTACTTATGGCATATGCGAGCTTTACTTACGATGCATGCGAGCTCATATCAAGGCCGCAGGCCCCAAATGTGGCGAATGAGCTTTCGACTATGCCAACCTTCATCAATAAAAAGGTATCCCAAAATTGAATCGAGTTAGCATGTCTTATATACTAGTGAACTAATGTTTCATAATCGTAGTTTTAGTTACACCATATATATATACTCTACTGAAGTTTACGTAGAGGCGGAGAAAATGGCGTAATAGTGTATGAAAAATAAGGCACGTCGCTTAAGCAGCAGTTGTTATGGCAAAAAGAATTATTAATATTTCACATAATTGTAAAATATTTTAGAGTTTTAAATATTGACTTTATTGTTAAGTTTAACAAATCTATGCTAAAGCGATGCAAAAATAAAGATTTGCTTCATTGCGTATTTATAAGCAAAAATTATTTTAAATTTGATATAAATATTAACGAAATTTGCTCCAAAAATTTAAATAATTTTAAATATAAGGAGCTAAATACAATTTCAATTTTAATAATTACAACCTTGGAACTTGAAAATAGTTAAAATTTCTAGTAATTACAAGTTTAGAAATTGATATTTTACTTTAATTAATTTGGACAGATTTTCGCTAAAAAAAACATTTTTAATCAAAAAATTTAACTAAATTTTTTATAACGAAAAGAAAACTAGAATAGATTTCTTTTTTCATTTTATTAAATTAAAAGTTGCAGTAGCTTATGCTTAGTTAAAATGTGTCATAAGAACTAAATTGTAATATGTAAAAATTTATGTTGTTGTTGTCAATTTACGTCGCACTAGAACTGCACAATGGGCTATTGGCGACGGTCTGGGAAACATCCCGGAGGATGATCCGAAGACATGCCATCACAATTTTGATCCTCTGCGGAAGGGATGGCACCCCCGCTTCGGTAGCCCGACGACCTGTGCGCGAAGTCGAGCACTGTAAGGTAGATAACGAGGACCAATACCGCACACCCTCGGTCCCTACGCAGAATGGTCCAAGTGGTCACCCACCCGCACACTGACCGTAGCCAGTGATGCTTGACTTCGGTGATCTGCTGAGAACCGTGTCTTAACGATCAGTCCACTGCGGGACAAAAATTTATGTGTAGTGTATTTATGTGTATTATGTATATTTAATTTTAATAGTAATGTGTAAAAAATTTTAATTCGAAAATGTTTATTTTTTTTAAAATCAAACTTTCACTTAAAAATAAATACCAAAATATATCATTTAATTAATCTGAAATAAAAAAACAAGATAAATGTAAAATAAGTGGTTAGTAGTTGATTTACAAGTTTATAATGTTTTAAAAGATAAAGTGCGTAATATATGCTTCCGTGTCACTGCTGGGGACTGAACCACCGACATCGAGGTTTGCAGACTTGAATTTAATTAATTTCAAATTTCTTTCATTGTCTGAAAAAAAATCTTTTTGGTGTGTTTTGAGAAAATACATACTGTTTATAGAATACATCTTAAAATAATTAGCTCGATTGTTATTTACTCTTACTATTTAAATGAAGAAACTAAGGATGTGCAAGTCTTTGATTGACATGTTCAGAATAGGAAAATTCCTCGAAAACTGGGACTACATTAATACATAAATATGCAAGTGGGCGACCTTTGTGCTAAAATACAAATAATTTTTGTAGATACAAATAATTCTTGTAGGACTACATCAGCTACTAGCGCCACGAGTGAAGTGTTTTCGCAACTATTTTGGAGTGAGTGGTTTGTAGCTTCGGATTTTGTTCTCAGCGGTACCAGGGGATTGATAAATTGATGGATGTACTGGAATTCATTATTTTTGTTTATATTTCTGATGCAAAAAAAATTCGGCATTGCGAGTGACATTCAGAGATTTCAATTTATTTCTTGTTCAAAAAAGTTTGTTTTTAACCATATTATTTTTATTTGTGCAATACTTGCTGTTATGTTTTTTATTTTTCGTTAACTATACGAATTTATTACATAGATTATTAAATGCTTTTATATTGTACAGTTTCTCACATGGCTACCGGCGATGATTCAAGATTTGTTCAAAGGATTGCATTTTGCTCAGTTTTATGCGCGGGATTCGCATATGCTGGATACAGTATGGTTTCAAAGTGTTATCGAAAACCTAAGAAGAAAGAAAATACAAATCGTTTTTGTCAAAGTAAGTGTTTTTAGTTTTCGTCCTTGCAATTGAGGAGGGACGCATTTTATGACCCCCTTCAAATCGATTTTAAACTTGTAAATTTTTTTAAAATAAATGTAGATGCTTGCTCGCGGGTGGCTACGAGTTATACCTTTCGAGTTGGTCACTTTCTGTGATGTTTTTTTATTTTCGCGCGGACCACTGCCTGGAAGTTTCCAAGACTTGGCGATTATTCTGTCACAGATCACGATACGGAAATCTCCCCTTTAATTGTTCGAATAGTTCGCTTCGGGTGACGTAAAAACCTACTATTCGGCCTTACTTGTGTCAGGTACCTATCACTAAAGGAGTATTGAGTATAGTAAAGTGCTGTGTGCTCTCTGCTTTCGCTTATAGCACTGCATTTCAATAGGTAAGGCTTAATTTAGCCTAATAAGATTTATTTGAGCTCTGAGGCTCTTCTTCAAATTCAACATGCTTCCACCACCTTCAAAACTTTATCTCTCACTTAAGGATCTGTTACCTATTTTGACAATAACAATTGTTCATGATGCCAGAATTTATTATGCAATCAATAATAATTTAGTGGTTTTTACAGCACTCTGAGAGGAAATTGTGCTTTTGATTGCTTACTACAAACCTATTTATGGTTAGACATTGCAAATACACTTCTTAAACATAGTTAATGTATATATTTTAATAAGAATAGCAATTTTTATTAAGAAAAATAGATTAATAATATATATGTTCCCAATTTTTTAATTTAAGAGTAGATAATACATTTTGAAAAGTGTATTTGGATTTATAAGCGTATTCGAATAAAGATTTTTGTACCGGGAACAGTGGCAGAATAATCGTCAAGTCTTGGCAACTTCCGGGCATCGGCCCATGTGAATGAGAAGCTAAAAATAACATCGCAGGAAAGGGCCAACTCGAAGGATGTAACTTGTAGACACCCCTGGCAGATATTTACATGTTTTTTTGAATCCCCCCCCCTATTTTAATCAATTTGGGGCCTTGGCAAATACAGTTGGCATGACAAATCACGATACGGAAATATCGCAGTGTATTCATTATGAAAAATGATATTAAGGGTAAGAGGATACTTCAGTATTGGTTCCGATTCACTATTCATGCAAACTGCATTCATCAAGGTTAAATTTTTAAAATTGAGTATATATATGTATATAATGTCGTTGCAGAGGTGAAGGATAAAAACAGGTCTTAGGCAGGGAAAGAGAGCACAAAATTTATTTAATAATTATTAGAGAGAGAACAATCATTCAAGTAACACAAAATCGTTGTGCTCCTCATTAAATGTTAGGGAGAATGTTAGAAAGTAAATCTGTTAAATGTTTCGTTTTATAGGGAATAAGGGAAATTTTAGTAATTATAATTGGTTTGTTAAATAGGTCCAGGGAAACAGCCTTTCTCATGTGTTAGTTAGAGGTATAATCGTTAAAATGTTAATTAATGCATACTTGAACTAAAAATAGATAGGTTGTGAATATTAAAGTGTGAGAAAGAAAGTTTCGTTTTGAATAATAAGTTAAAAAGAAGATTTACGGAAAATGAATATCCTGAAAAGTTTAGTTGAAGCTTTATATATATATAAATATAAATATANTGTATGTATGTATATATAAGATAAACTTTTTTAGTATCTTGCATTTTATTGCCTGGAAGGTGCCAAAACTCAGTGATTATTTTAGCAAAGATACCAATATAAAAATCCTCTGAAGGTAAACATAATATTAACAAGAATGAAAGAAAAAACATTGGATGCATCACTTTCGTTATAAACTTTTATCACCATCCATACTTCTATTTTCTTCAAAAATGATGCACTGTGTATTTTTTATTTTAAATCTGACAAAATATAATTAATTTCCTCTTTTTAGTCTACTTGAAAAACATGGTTTTTAAAACTTTTATTGTCTTCCTTAAGATGTGAACACACAAATAATTTAATTCTGTGAGCTCATTTTCAAGTAAACAAAAGAGATAGTCAATTTATTATGTAAAACATAAATAGTACACTACATGCATGGCATTTTCTGTGTTTCGTAAAATTATTTTTTATTTTCTTCTGCCATCCTGTGTGACAAACGTAAAAACCTTTGTTGAAATTTTAATAAATTTTTGAACATTATAGCTTATTACAAATTCTTATTAAAATGTTTTACTTTTAAGCTATTTTTTTCTAGCATAAATGTTGCATGTTGTACTATTAAAGTAAAGCATAAATAGTACAATATATGCTCTTTTAACTGTAAAAATATTTTTTCTGTGATTATTTCTACAAATTATGTTACCTTTTCTTGCGCATCCTTTGTGACGCACTTAAAAATCTCTGCTGAAATTTTAATTAATTTTCAAACCTTTTTTAAAACTAAAGCTTTCTTATCAAAATGTTTTTCTCTTTTACTTTTCAGCCAATTTTCTGAAGCTCTTTGCTAGTAAGTCAACACAGACTGAAGGCTCAGATAAAAACAAACTTGAACTTGACGACAGATGTGTATCACCCAGAAGCGTGAGAGAGAGAATCAATGATTTAAACATGTCAGAACGCCTTCGTAAGAGGAGCGTTCCCATATCTCCTGAGATAAAACCTCACAGCTTCCATGGTAGTCCGTGGAGCTCTCCGCTAGGTTGTGCAAGATATTTAAGCGTATCTGCGGAAAACATCTGCATGAAGCCCAGCGCTTCATTTGACTCAAAATTTAAAAATAAGTTAGCGAATTCACAAACGGCCCTCAACATGGAGCTTCACGCCAAACTTTCAAGGTTGCAACTTTCAGACAGACTGTCTCAACCAGTTCTGCCATTCCAGGATGATATAATCAATTTGAAATCTCTAAATAATTTACAAAAAGCACCTTCTAAAATGACTGCCTTTGAAGTGAGAAATTTAGTGCAACTTCTACATTCTGTTAATGAAGATGTTCTACTTAAGACGTTATATACAATTTCAAACTGTGCAGCTTTTACGACTAATCAGGTATGTGTAAATGAATCAGATTTAAAGAGTATGGATGGCAATTATTAGATGACTACAGATTTTTTTTTTTGTAATTTCTATGGTCATTAATTTCATCTATGAAAAATAAGTAAAAGGTTTGGAATGCTATGAATAGTTGAAATTTTTTGATTTTTCTTATTTAATAACTTCAGACTATGCACTGCATTTCTTTGCACATTCTTTGTAAGTAATCCTGTTTTTGTTAGTCTTAATCCCTTAGGGGGAAATACCTTTTACCAAATACTGTTATCCAAGTGATAATTTTTCCTTTTTTTCAATGTCTTTCCTTTTTTTAGCATGTTATGCAAGTGTGCAATGGCAGAGTATAGCTTATTTTAGTTTTTGTTCTTTTACCTACATACCTTTTTTTTTTTTTGCAATTAATAGACTGACATATTTATTAATTTAATTCAAAGCAGTTTTCATATTGATATAGTTAATCTTAATGATTAACTATAATCAAACTTATTTTGTTATTTAGCTTTAACAGAAACTTGTGAAATAGGTACCTATCAATTAAATTATTCATTTCACGTTTTTATACATATTGTTTAATAATTATAATTACTATGGAAACAGAATTAGTGATTTTATAAATAGAATGATGATTTATGGATTAGAATTTACTGGTTAGAATTGAAGAAACATAAAATTATTTTTTTTATACTTAAATCAAAATTTTTTGATACTTTAAGATTTCGTTAAATTAGATAGGTAGATTTAAGTTCGAAATGCTATATAAGATATAAATATAATTTTTTTTCTTTTCAAGATTTATAAATTTTGGTTTTCTTTCTTTCAAACTCTTGAAAGTGTTTAAAATTAAAAACTTAATAACATATTTAAAAAATTTTATAGAAAGTTTTTAATGGAAAGCATATTTTCTGTCTTTTCCAAAATATCTGGATATTTAACGCTAGTTTTGAATATAATACGTACTTTAAATAATTAAGATAAATTTTTTATAGAAAGGAAAAAGAATAAGTGCAGTGCAGAAACTCTTATCCGGAAATCAGAAAACCAGATAACCGGAATGAAATTCGGAACTGGAAATTAATTTTCTTCCATTAAAAAAAATTTTTTTTCCCTGCAAGATTTTGAGCCCATTTTGTTATTTAGAGCGTGTGGCGTATCGAGTTGACGAAAGAACTGATTTAGAGGATGGATCAAAAGCCGTTTGTAGACGAATCTCACATAAGCACAAATAGCTTATACATGTTATTAATGTTAATAATAACATTAATAACATATATAAGCCTGTATATAATTTTTATTTCCTAATTTCTTTCCTTATTTAAACTTAAGTGGATTATTATTTATCATTTTTTATTATTTCTAAAACTATTTCAAAAAAAGTTTTTAGTTTGGTTTTTAAACATTAAAAAAACGGCGTTTTGTAGCGATTCAGAAAACCGGAAAAATCAGTTATCTGGAATCGCGATGATCCCGATCATTTCGGATAATTGGTTCACTACAGTATCTATAATTTTCAGATTCCATTGAGTGAGATAAATGAGGAAATATTTATTTAGTTTCAAGTAAATTTTGACTCACAGGCAATGGCAGACCTGTATTTCATAACCTTCTAAATTGCATTGAGATATAGAAATTCTATGCAGGCCCTATTCATATATTGATCCAAGTAGTAATTGTTATATTTTGATAATCAGTTATCTGCAAATTTATTTAATTATTATTTTTTTAGGAATTATTATGTGATTCAGAATGTCCCAAAATGTTGAAGGATCTTCTACTTAGTCAATCAGAAGCTGTCAAAATTGGTGTCACTCAAGCAATTTCTAACATTTCAGTTATTGATAGGAGTCATCGCTATTTTCAGGTAATACAACTGCTGCATTATTTCTTTTAGCATTGTTTTTAAATTTCAATTTCATTGTCAAGTTTTTAATTTGTAGTAGTTATTAAATTAGTTTATATCAAATATTCATTCATACTGTCAAAGTATACAGTTCTGTCAAGTATGCAGCTCTATTTGCAAGCACAGATTATAGGATTGCCAAATGGTTTTCATATACAGTATATTAGTAATTGACCAATAGTTTATTTTTATTATATGCATGCATAAAACTGCAAACAAATGTCTAAAAAGGGTTAATTTTTTGCTATATATCTGAACAAAGCTAAACAATGTGAAAAGATTGCAAATAATGACGAGTAAACAGACGTGCTATGGTTTCCATTCTGTAATCAAGATCCTTCATCAGTGTTGTTTGTGTGAAAATTTATGTTAAGAAACAGAATGTAAAAATTTTTTTTTGAAAAAGAACATTCTTTAATGGTGAATATTTCTTATTCTTATGCTTCTTTTACACTAAACCATTCATTGTAAAGAACTAGGTTTTGATCCTTAGTAGTTGCGTGAAACCATCCAGTTTCTGATTGATGAGTGTCATTTTTTCAGGAAAGAAAGTTTGTTGATGGGTAATGATGACCACATTATCATGCTGTTGGTCAAAAATTTGCAGAGCCTTATTTTCCTCCTCTTGACCAACAATGTACTACTATACAAATGATCTACTTTTCATCTCTTTTTTTTTCTTCTTGCATGTAAAGAATGCAATAATATTAAAACATGTTATTAAAACCTTTGAAATGCTACTTAATAAAATTTATAACTCTTCATATCTGATATTATTGTTTCTAGTTTTAATTGATGTATTATCCAACTTAAATTTTTTATTTTTTAATATGTATACAGACTTACACAAACTATGTAAAATGATAATGGTAATATTAAGGGCTACTATTTCAGTTTAGATTTAACCGTGTATTGGCTCTCATAAAAATTTACCACTTCTCAGGGCACTTTAAAAAAAATAAAAACGCATTTAATGGAGTTGTTTATTTAGTTTTTTAAATTCTTTTTATGCTTTGTTTATACAGAGTGCATATCATTTTAAAAAATGCTTAAAGGTGCTTATTTTCATTTTTAAGAAGCCCTTCAAGGTACTTTTTTCTTTGGTTGTTTTTAAAAAGTGCTTACTTTTCCCTTTTTTAAAATGATATATTTTTTCTTTACCATGTCGATTTTCGCTACAAATTATGAAAAAAGTGTGGTTTCACAATTCATTCAACTACAATCCATTTCAGCATACCGTCAGCCCATAGTGTATGAAAGCGCCAATCATTTTACATGTTTGATGAAATACATGCGGGTCCGCATGTGCTGCGTGCTAAATTCGGTGAGGCGGATTATTGCACTCTCGTGTATAACTCTGCTGTATTTTCTCAATTTCGGGCTTCATTTCCTGCCCTCTGAAATCAAACAAAAGAATCTTTTGAATTTTTGTTGATCATGGGGACCAACTAAACATTGCCAAATTTTTCTCGCTTTTCTTTTGTTAATTTCATTGGTGAAGCACCATTGTCTTCGTTACTGGCAAGCTTAGGGTCTTCTCGTGCTTTCCTATTTGTAGATCAGTTCCATTATCCTTGAACTTGATTTCGGTATCATTAACTGATTATCTATTTTCATGTGGGCTCCCAGAGTAGTCAAGAATCACAAAGCTTCATACCTCAAAATTTCCATCTCTCTTTCATTCATTTAATTTAATAAAGAAATTATTAAAATTTTTTATCTGAAAGACCTTCCATAAAAATTTTTTAAACTTTTATTGTACTTTTTTACTGATAACTTTTCATTGTTGTATTACTTTTAAATTTTTTAGTGTTTTTAATTTGTTTTAACTCAAACTCAATAAAAGAAAACTCAATAAAAGAAGCAAGATTTTAAAAAAAAGTATGAAGTGAGGAACTTTACCAATTTTAAAAGCAGCAAAAAATCTTATGTTATTCGATTAGTAGATTTGTCATTCAAAAAAGCTTAAATTCGTTAGTTAAAGATTTGATTTCAAAACAATTGAAATAAAAACAAAATTCAAATAAAAAAATACACTCGATAACCTTTTTAAATAATAGTAAAATAGTTAAATTTATTATAATTTTTAATTCATTATTTTTTACATAATTAAATTAAGTAATTATTGTTTAAAAAAAATAGAATGAGCCATTCAACATTGAATATATTTAAAATTGTGTATAAATTGTTTTTATGATGGCAATCAAGAAAAGAGTTCTTTGTCAGAAACTAGTTATTTTATCATGATCATGTAAAGTCTTTGAAAATTATTTTGCATTTTGTTAATGCATAGATGAAGATTTTTCAACTATAGAAAGAACTTTATATTAGTGCACATATGCTAATTATGATATATTTTTTAAAGTGCTTAAAAATATTTTTTGAGTGTTTAAAAAGTGCTTATTTTTTGTTGCAAAATTTAGCTATGCACCCTGTTATAATGAAATTTATTGTTTTTACTAACAGTTCATTGTCTTGTTTTACAGTCTCACATTCCCATCTTGTTGAATAATGCTGTTAATGGAAGAGAACTTCTAAAGTCTCTGTCATTGACCGCTCTTGCAAACTTAGCCCTCGATCCTTCTTCTCATAAAATGATAATAAAGAATGTCAACCACATCACACATATGGTCACAACCGGAACTAATGTTGTGCAACTACAAGCTATACGACTTCTCGTTAATTTGTCTTGCAATAAGACCATNATATATATATATATTTGAGAGAAAAAAATATATCAAGATGAAATAAATTTAGTCATTAACACATGAAAGAACTAAAAGGATCAATACAGCATGAAAAAGAAAACCGTTAACATGAAAAAATATACTAAATATCACCTTAAATAATTATATTTTTTATTATAAAAAGTTATTCTATCATATTTTTCTTAATCTTTTTCCACATAATTGTTTGTAACTTTTTAAATTCATCCAAAAAATTCTGTCTCCCATCTGGTGATTTTAGGCACATACACTTCGATTTTCAAGATTTGGTCTGGATATATAGTCTTCGCCTGACTTTGCTGTTGGTTCCATTTATTTTTCTTGAAGCAGTCGGGGGATATGGTTGTTTGCAGTAATTTACCACTTACCGCTGAAACTGATCCTGGACTGGCTGCATGGTAATCCTCCTCTGACGAATCTGTCATGTATGTCAGTGAATCCACTTTAATTTTTTTAAAAATATTTTTCCTTTCTGATAGTTAGGTTGCTATTTCCTGTAGTGCTTTTCACAAGGTGATATTATTTTAGTATGTCATTAAGTATGTTTTTTAACATCAATGGTTTTCTCCTGCTGTGTTGATCCTTTTAGTTCTCTTATAATGTAATAACATTTTATTTCCTCTTAAAATATTTTTCCAGTTGTGGCATTAGCAGCAGCTTAGCACTGTTGCAAATTGGAATTTTATACATTATTCTTTTTCTCTTCAATTTTCATTATTATTGTATTTGTATCTTAAATTGTATTATACAGGGTGTCTATAAAAGAACTCCGGGGTTTTGAGGCAAAATATTTTAATGAAATAAAAAACATACATACATGTTTTATACATGACTGAAAAGCTTACATTTTAAAGTTTTTTTTTAACACTTAGTAAAGTTCTATATGAGCCCCGTTAGTGGCACGGCAGACGTCTAAACGGTATTCTTCCTCTTCCCATGTCCTGGCGAGCATTTCTGGGGGGACGGTTGCCACACCATTGTTCCCTGAGATGTTGAACATCACGAATTTTCTCTGCATACACAAGATTCTTGATACGCCCCCAGAAGAAAAAATCCAACGGAGTCAGATCCTTGGAGGCCATGGAATAGGTCCCTCCCTTCCGATCCACCTGTTGCCGAGCGTCCAATGCCTCACGCACACGTAAACTGAAGTGTGGCGGGGGCCCCATCTTGTTGAAAGTAAACTAAACCCTTCTCCGCCTCAATGTCATCTAACTGAGGAAAAAGATACTCCTCCAACATATCACAGTAGACATCACCATTGATATTTCTTTTAATAAAAATAAACGGACCTATGATTCTGTCATGCATAAGCGCACACCAAACATTTACTTTGGGCGTGTCGCGTTCGTACTCGACGAACTCATAGGGCGGCTCAGAGCCCCAAATTCTGCAATTATGCCGGTTTACGTGACCATTCACATGAAAAGAAGCTTCGTCACTAAAAATTACACTTTTTAAAAAACCATTATTGTCATCAATTTTATCTAGCATTGTAACAGCAAAGTCGTATCTCTTAACCTTGTCTGCTGGTTTGATGTGGTGTACAAGTTGAATCTTTTAAGCAGTTAAACGTAGTCTTTTATGAAGTACCTTACCGACAGTTGATCTTGGTAACCCCAACTCCAGGCTGCGTCTTGTCAACGATTTCTTAGGGCTTCGAAGGCATGAAGCTCGGATTCTGTCCGCTTTCTCTTGAGACACACTTGGCCTACCCGGCGACTTTTGCTTCAAAACACTTCCTTAAATGCACTGAACCATTGACGAATGGTTTTGTCAGAAGGCGGGTTAACACCATAGTTACGTAGAAAGTTTCTTTGTATGGAAACTAAAGACTTCGTTTCTATGAGCCAAATAACACATTGAGCCTTTTGTTGCGGAGTCGCCATCATTTCAAATTTCGCGACGTCATTTCAAGGTCAACGCCCTGCAGCGCCGCCAACAGTTGATACAAACATTCCCAATTGGTATGAGTAAAACTTTTTGAGCTACTCTTTTCAGAGAAATCGACTAAATTTTGCTATCTTTTATAGTTAGTGAGATATGAATTTTTAAAACCCCGGAGTTCTTTTATAGACACCCTGTATATANTTTACATTATTCTTTTTCTCTTCAATTTTCATTATTATTGCATTTGTATCTTAAATTGTATTATATATATATATATATATATATATTATACAGTTTTGATATACACATTTAAAAAGGAGGGGCCCAGGGAACAGCTTGCAGGAATTTTGCAAATGTTTTTGTTGCGCTGTGCTGAAATTAGAATCAAAATCTGATAGTCCAAAGTCACTCACTTTTAGAACACAACTACAAAAACTGATTTCACCAGAAAGATAACTACATGACTCTACTGAGTTCATAATCACATTAAACATGCATGACATGTCTAGTTACATCTCCTTTAAATTTTATGGTTCCAATCTCATAACTTAACTGCCTTGTGTGTAAAAAAATTCCAAAAAAATATCCTTGTAAGGCACTACTTTCCCATTGAATAACCTGTAGCGAATAATTTTTTTTATGTAGAAAAGCCTACTGTTTAAAGTTCGGATAATGCTTAAAGTAACATGAAGATATTTAATAACCAAAATTGGTATACTGTATATTTCCGAATATGAGCCCATCCGTGTATAAGCCCAAAAAGCGCTGTTTAATTAGAAATTCGCCCAAAATTTAAAACTTGTATATAAGCCAAACATGAAAAAAAAGGCATGCTACACTTGGAATTAAAAATGCATGTATTTTGTAGTGGTGTCTAAAAACAAGTGGGCTTTCCGAATTCCTAATTAAAAGATTGAAAATTATACTGTTCCTCTCAAATTGTCCTTTTATGTGTTTCTTTCTCAATCTCTATATTTAAGCTTTTCACTCTATTATTCTATGAATTTTTATATTTCTAAGTACAGTAGGGAACCGATTATCCGGAACGATCGGGACCATCGCTATTCCGGATAACTGATTTTTCCGGTTTTCTGTATCGCTACAAAAAGCCGTTTTTTTTATTGTTAAACCCAACTAAAAAAATTATTTGGTAATAATCTTAAAAAGAAGAAAAAAACGATGAAGTAAAACACTAATGATTATTTCCAAAATGATTGTAAGGTAAACATCTTTCAAAAAAGAAAGAAAAATCCTAAAATTTTATGAGCGAAATTTTTTTTTTTTTAAATTGGCGGGAAAATTTATCGAATTTCGTTCCGGTTTTCAGAATTCCGGATAACGGGTTCTGTACTGTAATTCGTGATATTTACTAATTATCGCTGATTCTTGATAAAAGAAGGAATTTTTCAAAATTAGTGGATCCAATTGTAAGCCTACTTAAGCTTTCGAAAATTTCCTAAAAATTCTCGGCCTATTTTCGTAAATATACGGTATGTGTTTTGAGGTTTTGTGCCAGATAGTATGGCTAGTTTAAAATAAATATTTGTAGAAAGGTGAAAACACAAGCTATAACCTTCATGTATACCTTATGATTCACAAGCCTAGTTAGACTTATAATCAATTTCTTTAAGTTTTAAAAAATGTTGCATTGTTTGTTGCACTTTTCCTTTAGTTAATATCTAAAAATGTTTCTTTTCTCTCTTCCTTTTTAATTTAGAGCATTTTAATTCTGTTTACTTTGCTCACAGTAAAATAATTATTAATTATTTTCTTTTTTAATATTAGCAATTGATTATCAAGTTTGTATTCTGATTGAAATTAATTATATATTATGCACATGTTTGACTATCTTTTTTTTTTAATTCTTAGGTTCCTTCTGACATTTTAGGGATGATTTCCAAGCCTTATGACAGAGAATTAGTGCTCAGATTGTTGACTTTCTTTGCAAATATAGCAACATATTCTCTACAGTATGTAGAGGGTGTAGCTAAGCCTACTTTACTATCAATTCTCTATAATTTTAAAGACAGGACAGAATTCGCTGAACTAACAGCACTCACAACAGATAAAGACGAAGATATAAGTTTTCACGCAAAACGTCTACACACAGCTCTTTTGGGAGCTGCATAGAGTGAATTTTTAAGTGAAATTACATGCACACACTATCTGTAGTCTATTTGTGTTTTTAAATCTTAGAACTGTTGTTCCTACACTCTGCAAAATCAAACTTTGTAATGTTTTTCAGAAGAATATTACAAAAGTTGTCAACAGGTTGTTGACAAAATGCTAATACCTTGAGATGGCCTTATTACAGATATAGTTCCCCCATATTTTCCTCTCTATTCAAGTAGTGTGATTGCTGCTCAAATACATTCCAGCTTCTCCAGATGATGCAATTTTGCAGAAATTGCTAAATGATTGTCTTAAATTTACTCTCTAGGATCTAATTTATCCTAGTTATTCTCCAAACCAAAAACATTTAGTAAGTTAGTTTACAGTGGCTACAGAACAGGGAAAAGTAGGGGAATTTTATCAATCTTGAAAAATCAGGTAAATTAAATAAAACACCTGAAAAGTAAGAGAAACTGAATAAATTTATGTTTGAGGTACTAATAGAAATCCTCCTTTTTTATCAAAAAAAAAAATTGTCTTGCAGCAATTTATTTTCTTTTAATATCAATTCTAATGGCACATATAAGTATACTGTAATCTATTTTATGTTTAAAAACAAGGCATAATGGAAAAATTGGTAAATAGTAAAATTTATACCATAAAAATCAGGAAATTCTATAAAATCAGTAATTTTTTTTTCTCCAACTTTGTCGATTGATATTTTTCTTGAAATTGTCTTATCAAGCCCAAAAGTAGGAAAATAGATTATTTTTTTGCATTATTAATAAATTAATTATGCAAAAATATTTTAAATACATTTTGAAGTAAAATTTATTCCAAACAGTTCCTAATTTACAGAGCTGCACAACTCTTAAAATGCTAAATTGTTGCTCAAACAGTCAATCACACTGTTAATCTTAATCCCAATTATTCACAAGAAGGTGCTAAATTCAGACAAATTGTTTGCCTGTGTTTATTATTACTACTACCTGTTATCTACTGCCAGTTTGATTTACGAGCATGTTGGATTGGAACTCTGGTTCCAGGTTAAATGCCATTTAGGATTCTAGTCATTTAGATCTAGGTATGTTTTTCTGGAATTTACCCAGAAAGCACATCTAACTACACAAGAATTCCAAGTCATACTCTTATGAACTTAATTCAACAGTACTTAAAAGTTTCTGAGTTGCCAGATGTAACCTGAAGTCACAAGCATAAACAAGAATCACACTTGATATTAATTATTTAGGAGTGCCTACTTCTCTTTTGCCATTTGTACTTCTAGTCATTCTGAGATTATATGTGTTTTTTTTCTTCTAGTGGTTTACTGACAATGAAACTAAACAATATAAGATTCACCTTTTAAATGTATTTAGGTTATTCTGCTGAAAACTATGGAATAATAATTAGCATCAAAACTTACTAGAAAACTATATTTTTGAAACTGGTTATAGACGGCAGAATTAGAAATGTAATTAAGATACTGTTATTAACTTCTTCATGAATGTTGTAAATACAAGCTAATACACATTTTCTTACAAATTTTAAGTGCTAGGGGTAAGGGAACAGTTTAGCGGGGGTATGCGTTCTTATGCGAAATAACTTCTAACAAACAAAAATTTTATTTAAAAACATAGCTAGCCATGAAAATTTACGATTACGTATTTTTCCATTGGCTATTTTTTGCAGAGTTAACAGTTAAGAATTTGTGGTGTCAACAGCCAGTTGTAGTTTTTAAATTTTGTGCAATTTTTTTATTAATGGTAAAAATTATGAAATTACGGAAAATTTAAAAAGGGTACATGAAAGTTATAAGTTTGGGAAACACTGATTTATGCTTCGAAGTTTTTTTTAGCTTTAACACCAAAACTAAGCACAATTTTTTAAACAAATGATTATTTATTACTCTTTAGAAATTATGCAACAGTAATTTATTGCCAGAGGGAAATTTTTTTATAGTTCTTCAAATATGGGGTGTTTGGTTTGTGCAACAGTAGGAGAAATTTATTTACATGAGCAAGTTTAAAGTTTTGTCTCTTAAGAAAATGCTTAAAATATCACCAATTCCATGTTTTGTGATGTTTTAAATTCGTTAACTAATGAAATTATAGAATGAGTTAAGATCAAAAGTTATGTTTTTTTTTGTTACATTATGCTTGCATAAATGGAAATACAGTGTCTGAATTTCATGTTTTTTTAATTTTCTTTATAGAATTTTTTTCTCTTAGCAGTGCTAACTCATTTTTATTGTGTATATGCAGTATGATTCTAATTATTCCAAAACACGATGTCGATATATATTCTCATGTATTGTCAATGCACATTATTTTATTTAATGTTGCATTATAAGCATATTGTTATTCTACGTTATGTTAAAAAAAAATAGATAGCTTCATTATGCTAAAATAACTGATGAAAAAGTAGTTCTTTATTTATTATTATACTTAAAAAAAAAAACATATCAATACTTGAATGTTTTATAAGCATATATGTATGCATCTTAGTTGACATTTTAGTCCTTTTCCAATATTCTTTTTATTGAAAAAATATCTGAACTATTTTAGACTCATTTATAATTTTTTATATGGTTTTAGAAAAATTTCCCTGCATGCTAATATACTTAAAAAATTATCTTTATTGTAACAGTTTTTGAATTTCATAACTGAAGTGAGGACTAGTTTTGGATAATTTTTATACCAGGACTTGACAGGAAACAAATTGGCTAATATTAAAGATAAATTTTTTAAATTTCTATTTAAAAAGAATTGAACCTCATCACTACGAGTATTAAATACTTTCACAATTTGTAAAGTACTATATTATTTTTTACACCTTTTAAAAAAATTGACACAAAAATGACATAACTAGATTGATAAGATCTTATCAATTTATTCAATTAATCAACCTAACATTTCCCATACAAATGTTCCAACATTTTTTAGTTCACGACATACTAAAAATGTCTGGAATTATTTGTGTCACACTTGAAAGTAAAAAAAAAAAGGTTACGATTAAGAAATAAAATTTATTAAAGGAGGAAGTCTCGCTACATTCGGGTTGGAAAATTCAAATACAATGAATATTCTCAAAAAAATATTTTTTCCTTTCTAAATGTGGATATTGCATCTTAACTTTAAAAAATAAAAACTTTTATAGAACCAGATATTCCTGATTGCATTTTTTTTTAAAACTCACATTATACTTGTACGAATAAATGATCTTTTTTAATTGTGTGTATTAGTTTTATTGTATTGTTTTTGTATTTTATTAAACGTTTTATAAATTCCAATAATTGTCTGGTTAAGGCAAAAGAAAAAGAGCAGAAATAATGTATAAGCAGACACAGGATCATTTTAGTTCTGTAAATGTCGAAAACAAAATGAAAACCCAAAAATAGAGAAGTTATAACTTGGAAAAAGAAATTGACTATTAGGGTAGGGTATTTGACCAATAGGTAACCTTTCGGGAATCAAAATAAATTAGTTTCTGTGCAGTCATTATAACACACATAAAAAAAATACCGAAACACTACTGAAAATGCAGGTTTCCAGAAGTTGGAGTCTGTTTATTTCCATTAAAAATTCTCAATTTCTCGAATTAAATAAATCACTAGGAAAGGTTTCTCTTAAAACCCATCTTTTTCTGTTTTTTTACTCAAAAAATAAAAGTAGTAAAAGTATATGTTTAGTAATTTTAGACAATTAATTCAATACTGTGTTTAAATTTGTAAAAATGTTCGTATAGTTTGTTAAAACATATTGGATGAAGCTAAAAATATTTTTCATAAAAAACAAAGGTATAATACTTAACTATTTTTTTAAAAGCGTGATTGCAAAATAAAATATAATTCAGACAAAAAAATAATAATTCTCTGAAATTCTAAGTACTGCAGACTTAATTCTTCTTAAATCTGAATGATAAAACATTGATGTTTTATACTTTCAATATTACTTTGTTATTAAAAGTTGAAAAAATAAATGAAACTCAACTAATTTTCTTCAGTTTTATTTTCTTTACAAAATAATCGCATAAGATAGTGTACAATGATCATCACAGAAAAATTTTGCTTAGAAATTTTTATTTAATATAAAACATGAGAAATATTTTGATTGACAAATTTGGCAATCGTAAAGATTTGCAGTATTTAAAATTACATCTGATTTTAACAATATAATTAGTAGGTAATCATATAAAATTAACAAATTGGAATACCATAGTCTCCACAATTGAAAGAAGAAAATTTAAATTTAATGATTCACCCATCAACAATAATTCAGGGGATTACACAAATTCTGTGGTAATTACAAATTAAGGAAAATATTATTTTAAAGGTTAATATCAGCTACTTAAATTGTAATAAGTAAGTTACAAATGCAGTTAATAATTAAAAATTTAGAGTGATGTTTAAAAGTTTGAAGAGATTCATTCCCATTTGTAACTATGATTACATAAACTTCTAAGAAAAATTTAATAATTATTTCTAGGGAATGTTTAAAAAAATTACAGTAAAGAGCCATTTATATGTTTTTTCTTACTTAAAATAATATTTTGAAACATTAGTCTTGCAAAGTAATTACTAATTCAAACAATGCCTTCTAGGTGAAACATCTGCTTTTGTACTATTTTTCCCTAGAAGTTCAGTTATTAAAGAGAAATAGTCAAAACAATGAGAATAAATTTTGCTTCCAATAAAACTACTCTATAAACACACATGATTTGTCATTAAAATGAATCTAAACCATCCTGAAATATGAAAAACATATAAATGGTGCTTTACTTTGTATTTCCTTACCAGAAAGCATTTGGACGATATAATTATCACACCTTTCAAATTATTAAAAAGGTATTGTAATAAAATAAATTACATTGTAACAATTAGATAACATACCACTAACCAGTCTTGTTTGAATGCAAAATGTTAAATACATAACACAAAACTTAATTCAATAACCACATTCAGCTGAGAACATGAAATTCTACTTCAAAACAAATGCTGGATACTTTGATAAAAGTATTTTTGAACAACAAAAAAAAAAAAAATGCTTTCAATTGATATAACAATCCAGATATTACTCAATAACAGAAATATCACTAAAACGATGGTATTGTCCATTCTTGTATTTCTCGTAGAAAACTTTACCAACGATACCAAAAACTATACCCGTACCTAACATACAGAAGAGAGTTACCCAAAATGTAGTTTCAGAATCTGAAATAAACAAAATTACTCATGATAAATTCATACAATCAATTGGAATGACAACAGTTCATACACATGATTCTAGATAGCATAACAAATAAAAAATCAGCTACTAAATAAATTTTTTGATTAAACCCAGGAATTAGCACAAAGGATCAAAAACTGGCTATGGTGTGGCATTTCCAGCAAATGTGAGAATATGGTTGTTCAAGATGAAGTAAAAAAATTTTAAAAAAAATAAATATTGCTTAAATTCAAAAAGAACATGTTAAATGATACAGTGAAAATAATCTTTAAAACATCAAACATAGAAAAGTTGTTTGCCTTTTGTAATTTACATACAGTATATATATGTATATGTTTAATTTCAAATTATCCTATTTTTCTCTTAAGTCCTAAAAATCCCAAAGCCACCTTCTTGGTAAATTGAAGGATTAACTAGCTTTACTGATTTATGTATGTAATATGTTTTTTAAGATTCATCATAATTAAACCACTTTACATCACAAAGTGCAAATAAAATAGATACGTAATAGAATATGTGCCAAAAATATAGATTTAATGGTTAAAAATCATGTTTTAGATATCTAATGGCTAAACAAAGACATAAAATTCAAAAAAAAATTTCTAAATATAAATATCAAATATCTAAAAAGAATACTAAAATATCATTAAAATTATTCAATGATTGCCCCATACCCCAAACTTGATACCAAAAACAGGGTATGACCCCAGTATCAGTGGGTGGAGCAGGAGGTTGAGTTTGGTGTCAATACGTAAGTAATAAAAGTAGTTGCCTTGTACTGCCATGTAGGGGTTGCATATGGTATTCTTAAAAACATCTGTACAAATTTATTTTTCATGCATTTTTCTCCCTCCAATTTTGATTTAATGTGTATTTGATATATTTTTTATATCCGTCGTTGAGCAGCAGACCAAATTTTGGGTTTACGACGATTAATGTTCAACTCCGTAGTCTTGTAATTTTGAACCCAATCCAGAAGACAAGGAAACTCCTAGATCAGTACCCCCAGAGGTATTTTATATATATATATATATATGGGAAGATGGACGACTTTGTGACTCGACAGATTTAACGTGCACCAGTCACCATTTACTACACAGGGAGTCTTCGGGATCGAACCCACGAACTCTTAGACATGGGTCCAGTGCCCACTAACAAGGCTATCCCGGCCTCTTATTTGAGATATTTGGCCACCTCCATGCCTTCAGATACTTTGTAAATCAGATAAATAAATGATAACAAAGAAAGTAACAAAGCTGGCATATCTAAAGAAATTTAGTTACTTAAAGAAATACAATTTTTTATTTAAGACTTACATCCAAATTGCTGTATGACGGGAGGTGGGGGTGAAGTATCACAGTTCTTTTCATCAGAATAATCTCCACAATCATTGCGACCATTACATACCCAGTCAGGATGCATGCAGATTTTGTTTTCACACAGCATGGATGAGTTGCAAGCTATAAAAATTGAACTATTATAATACACAAAGAAGAAAAGCAATTTTTAAAATTATTTTACCCACCAATAGGAATGAAGACAGTATCTTCAATAGGAAGGCAATGGAAATACAGTAAAACCTCTCGGGAGCGACCACTCTCAGTTCGTCATTAAAAATGGTCGTTAATGGAGGTTGGTCATTCTTAGAGATTACCTACGTTGACTGCAAAATTGTTATCGAAGGTACACGTTTTTTTGAAACCAATTTTAATTTTAGTGAATGTCATTTTTTGGGTGTGCAAATGTCATTTCTGTTGGCGTAATGAAAAGATTGTGAATAAAATTTAGCATCTATAAAAATGATCTCAAATCATGTGTAAAAACAATTTTACCAATTATGAAGGATAAGGCTATAACAAATAAATAAAGATTTTTTTTTTGTTTAAATTTGAAATTAATTGTATATTATAAAAATTAGTTTCAAAAGATGAGAAGAGGTTTTGTATGTTTGAGATGCATGTTTTTTCTAAAATAAATTTTTTGAAGTTATACTTCTTATGCAACTTCCAACAAGGTTGCGTTAAACGTTTAATGCTAAATTTTTATTGGCCGGAAAATCACGTGGTAAGATCCAGTTTTCCCTCATTCATTTCCATATTGTTTTGGTTCTCACTGGCATAAAATTAATAAAAGTATCGTTTTTCTATAATTATTCTTTTAGTTTGTTTTGATACACACATAATTTAATAGGGTAGTATTTTTTCTTTNAAACAAAAAAAAAATGCTTTCAATTGATATAACAATCCAGATATTACTCAATAACAGAAATGTCACTAAAACGATGGTATTGTCCATTCTTGTATTTCTCGTAGAAAACTTTACCAACAATACCAAAAACTATACCTGTACCTAACATACAGAAGAGAGTTACCCAAAATGTAGTTTCAGAATCTGAAATAAAAAAAATTATCCACCATAAATTCATACAATCAATTGGAATGACAACAGTTCATATGCATGACTTGTGATAGCATAACAAATAAAAATTTTGCTACTAAATAAACTTTTTGGTTGACCCAGGAATTAGCACAAAGGATCAAAAAACCGTACATATATATGTTGTGTGTGTATGTTAGCACAAAGGATCAAAAAACCTATCATATATATGTTGTGTGTGTATGTTCTATTTCAAATTATCCTATTTTTCTCTAAAAAAGTCCCAAAAATCTCAAAACCACTTTCTTGGTTAATTGAAGGTTCGACTAGTTATACTGATTTATGCATGTAATATTATGTTTTTTAAGATTCATCAAAATTAAATCACAAAGTGCAAATAAAATAGATATATAATAGAAAATGTGCCAAAAATAATAGATTTAACGGTTAAAAATTATGTTTTCGATATCTAATGGCAAAACATAAAATTAAAAAACAATTTTCAGCAAGAATATACTAAGAGTTCAAAAAATATGGAAATGATCAAATAGGTGCCGTATCAAATATCTTTAAAAGCATTCAATGAGTGATGAAGCTTTAAAAGCATTCAATGATTGCCCCATACCCCAAACTCGATACCAAAGACTGGGTATAATCCCAGTATCAGTGGACGGAGCAGGAGGTTGAGTTTGGTGTCAATAGATAAGTAATAAAAATAATTGGGTTCATATTTTTAGATTTTGTGGTTGCCTTGTACTGCCATGGGTGGTAGGGGTTGAGTATGGTATCCTTGAAAACATCTGTACAAATTTATTTTTCATGCATTTCCCCCCCCCTTTACTTTAGATCCAATGTGTATTTGAGGTATTTTATATTCGTTCGTTGAACAGCAGACCCAATTTTTGAGTTAACAACTATTAATGTTCAACTCTGCAGCCTCATAATTTTGAACCCAATCTAGAAGACAAGGGAACTCCTGAATTAAGTATTTTAAAGAAATTTTGTCTTTGTGGCAGACTTTTTGATGGAACATGGGGAGGAAGACCACAAGAACCTCTCACAGTTAGCCTATCAGCATAGGGACTCTAACCCACCATCCGTCTACCACTGAGGATATTTCATGCGAGCACTATGGTCAGTCAGTGCAAGTCGGGATTCGAACCTGGTTCACATCACTGGAAGGCGAACGCTCTATCCCCAGAGCCATTGCGGCTTTATATGAGAATTTTTGTTTTATTAATACTTTTAAAACCGGCACTGAACAGCTGACCCAATTTTGGGTTTACGACTACTAATGTTCAACACCTTATCCTTGTAATTTTGAACCAATCAGGAAGACAAGGAAACTGCTGGATCAGTACCCCTAGAGCAGTGTTTCCCAAAGTGCGGTACGCGTACCCCCAGGGGTACAGGAACAGTTTAGCGGGGGTACGCGTTCTTATGCGAAATATCTTGCAACAAACGAAAATTTCAAAACATTTTATTTAAAAAAACAAAGCCAGCCATGGAAATTTACGATTAAGTATTTTTCTTTTACTATTTTTTGCAGAGTTAACAGTTAATAATTACTGGTGTCAACAATCAGTTGTGATTTTTAACTCTTGTGCAATTTTTTTTATAGCTAAGGTTTGTAATAAATTATACTTATTTTGATTATTTTAATAAAATATAATTTTTATCCTTAACATAGATTATTTTACCAAAATTTAAGATTTTTTTACAGAAAACTTTGTACCAAAAAAGAAAAGTAAACATATTATTAAAAAAAATACATTCGTATTTTCATTAGTGGTACACAGCGTTACGAAAAATTTAGAAAGGGTACACAAAAGTCACAAGTTTGGGAAACACAGCCCTAGAGGTATGATTTATTATGGGAACATGGAGGACTTTGTGAATTGACAGATTTAACGTGCATCAGTCACCATTTACTACAAAGTCACCATTTACTTGTCTTCCGCGAGGGGATCAAACCCACAAACTCTTGGACATGGGCCCAGTGCCCACCAACCAGGCTGTCTCGGCCCCTTATTTAAGATATTTGGCCATTTCCATACCTTGTAAATCAAACACTTTTAAATACAAATGATAACAAAGTAAGCAACAAAGCTGGCATATCTAAAGAAATTTAGTTACGTGAAGAAAAAAAAAATTTTTTTTAAAGACTTACATCCAAATTGCTGTATGACGGGAGGTGGGGGTGAAGTATCACAGTTCTTTTCATCAGAATAATCTCCACAATCGTTGCGACCATTACATACCCAGTCAGGATGCATGCAGATTTTGTTTTCGCACAGCATGGATGAGTTGCATGCTATAAAAATTGTACTATTATAATATATGTGGAAAAAAAAAACAGTTTTTAATATTTTACCCGCCAAAAGGAAGGAAGACAGTAATGCAATGGAAATACAGTAAAACCTCTCAGGAGCGACCACTCTCTGTTCGACAGTAAAAATGGTCGTTAATGGAGGTTGGTCATTCTTAGAGATTACATACGTTGACTGCTATATTGTTACTGTAGGTACATGATTTTTGTAAACAATTTTAATTTTAGTTACTGTCCTTTTTTGGGTGCGGAAATGTCACTTCTGTTGGCGTAATGAAAAGATTGATCTATGAATGAAATTTAGAGTCTATAAAAATGATTCCAACTGATATAATTATGTGCAAAAACAATTTTACCAATTATGAATGATAAAGCAATTACAAATAAACAAACGATTTTTTTTGTTGTTGTTTAAAGTTGAATTTAATTGTATATCATAAAAATTAGTTTTAAAAGATGAGAAGAGGTTTTGTTTGTTTGAGATGCTTGTTTTTTCCAAAATAAATTTTTTTTACTAATTTAATTTTCAACTCAAAAAGTAAATCACTGTCTTCAGTGCACTCTGCCTGCAACAAGAGGTTGTGTCATCAAAAAGAGCTCTCTATATAAGAACCTCACAAATATTTTGAACCTTGTTTGTTTTTATTTTGATATTTTTTTGTGTTTCCTTATTTGACCTTTTTAGCATTTGGAGCACATGTTTGCCCAATCTCAGGAAGAGGTTTTAATGGTCTCTCCTAAAGGTTTTCTTAAAACAAAGTCTATGGAAAAAATTCTGTGTCTCTCTCAAAAGTGATTGTAAGTTGAGGTGGTTTTTCTTGGAGGTTTCACCGTATTACTGCCTTCTTTCTTTAAGATACAATCATTCTAAAGAAAGGAGGCAGTATTATTTCCATGATAATTAGCATTGTTCATTGAGAAATATATAATGTTCCTCCACTGTAAAATAGTTTGCTAATATTGTTTATAATCTTAGCAAAAGATAAGGCATCAAACAAATACAGATTATATTGATAAGAATAGTGGTAGTAATGAAGGAAAGAATGAGTACTTTTTAAGCACTCAAAAAGTATTTTTAAGCACTATATACATTAACAAAATACAAAATAATTTTCAAAGACTTTACATGACCATGATGAAATAACTGTCTGAGAAAGAACTCTTTTCTTGATCATATTAGCCATTATAAAAAGATTGAGAGATTTTTCGGATCGATTCCAGAGGGTGGAAATTAAAAGTATGAAATTGAGAATATCTTGCTAATGCAGCAGAGTTGCACATGAGAGTGCAAGAATTTCACCCAGCATAGTAGACGCACATGAGGACACGCAAGTATTTCAGCAAACATGTAAAATGATTGGCACTTTCATATGCTAAGGAATGACAGTACCCTGAAATGGATTGTGATTGAATGAATTGTGAAAGCATTGAATAGAACAATGTGAAAACCACGCTTTTGCATAATCTGTAGCGAAAATAGATATGTAAAGATAAAATCTCTTTTCGAAAATGGAAAATTAAGCACTTTTTAAAAACACACAATGAAAAATGCACCTTAGGGCTTTTAAAAAACAAAAATAAGAACCTTTTAAAAACGCTACACACGTTTTCAGTATGAAAAAAAAAAAAATTGGCGCATTAAGTGATATTTTCTGGATATTGCTTGCTTAATCCTTCAAACTATTTGTCCTTATCATTAGCTTAATCCACATTTCTGTTTTACATTCATTGAAGATTAGTGAAAATATATATATGAATATTCAGAAACTATGGAAAATTTTAATTTGGCTTGATACTTCATTAAAATAATACAACTTTTTTTTTCTCAATAAAAGTCTTATAACAGATGAAGAAAAAGGTATTGATTTTTTAAAAATAATTATTTCTTTACGCATTTTAGATAAGTGATTCATTTAATGAACTGTTCATGAAAAGAACCATTCATGAATGACACTTTTCATAATTGGAGTTTATTAATAACTTTATTTTTTGCCTTCATATTAAATAAAGTAAAGTCAAAAGCTTAATGACAGAAGCCATTAATTACATAAAGGTTGAAAACTGGAAGAAATCAATCAAAGAAGAAAATGTGAATTAGATGTTACTATGGAAGAAACTTTAGAGAGAATAGAAATTAACCAGAAAAAATGTACATATTGAATAATGACTTGCCAGTTTGCAATAACTTAGTGAAAAAGTTAGTTGCCGTTTAGCAAAACCATTAGAAAATTAAACAAAGAGCACTTTTATCTAGGTAATTCTTAAATGTTAGTTTTGCCACGAGCATTTGAAATTCACTGAAATATATTTTTTTTAATAAAAATCTTTAAGAAAAAATAGCCTAACCCATTTTTTTTAAAAAAAAACACCTAATTAGGTTATAGTTAAAAACTTGCAAGATTTAAGATTTTTCTTTTTAAAAACTTGTCAACAAACTTACAGGAATCAATAGTTAACCATGGCAGCAGAATTCATGGCATTTATCTGCGGGACTATCTTCATTAACCCAAATTAGTTTGTGATACCAAGGCAATCATAAAAAGATTATTTAAAAAAAAATCACCTTAATTTAATATCCACATCTATAGCAAAATTTATAAAAATAAGGTATTTAAAATTTGTGAAAAAAACTTTGCTTGGATTCAATTTTATTTTTTTTTAAAATGATGCTTAAAGAATGTTATAACTCACTATCAATAATAACAGTCTGTATTCAAGTAATGCTTTTTTTTTAATGTATGAATTTAATGATTGCATTGAATCGTTAACTTTGTATTTTAAGGACAAAATTCATCTGAAAATGCTGCAATCATATGTAACGTTTGTTGCACACATAAGAGAGTTTCAACTACCAGGCAGTTGATCATTGTTAAAAACCATGCCACTTACTTATAGTTTTGTAATCAATGTGGAAAATCGTTGAGGGCAATGATACATTCAAACGCTTGTAGATAATAATGATGCTGTTCTTTCGACTCCACACTTCAGAAGAACTCATGTTTACAATTTGGGGTTCTCGAATGGACGCACCATCAAACACTTTCATCTCACTAGGAAAATAAAAAATATAATTAAATTAATAATTCCTGGTATTTGAAAACATGTTAGTTAACATATTTATAGATTAAGAAAAATATTCCAAATTACTAATTCAAATGTCACAACTTGAAAAGAAGAAAATTCAAATTAAAAAAAAATACTATATACAATCACAAAATTATATACAATATCCATGATACTTCAGAAGTTAAAGCACTGAGGTTTCATTTTATTTTATAACTGTTGTTGAACAGCAGACAGAATTTTGGTTTTTACGACTACTAATGTTCTACTCCGTAGCCTTGTAATTTTGAACCCAATCTAGAAGACAAGGGAACTCCTGGACCAAGTATTGGGAGAAATTTGCGTTTGTGTAGGACAATGGAACAAACCCACATTTACGTTACATGGTGAGGAAAACCAGTTAGCCTGACAGCAAGGGGTTTCTAACCCATGTCTACCACTGATGATATTTAACGTCAGCAGGGAGGTCTATCCAAACCAGGTGCAGAATTTGTATCGATCAGCCATCGCTGGGATTCGAACCCAGGAAACTATGGAGCTTACATCTCCACAATACTGCAAGTAAGTATATTATACTTTTATATTTAATGAGTTCAAACAGCCTTTATATTGGTTATTTTAACATGCAGTCCCTGGTTAAATTATCACAGGGTGCATAGCCAAATCTCTTAACAAAAAATAAGCACCTTTTAAGTACTTTTTAAGCACTCAAAAAATATTTTTAAGCTCTATATACATTGACAAAATGCAAAAGAATTTTAAAAGACTTTACATGATCATGATAAAATAACTGGTTTCTGTTAAAGAACTCTTTTCTTGATTATATTAGCCATTATAAAATGATCGGGAGATTTTTCTGTTCGGGGGAGGAAAGTGAAGACAGAAATTGAGAATATCTTGCAAAATGCAGCAAAGTTGAGCATTAGAGTGCAATAATCTCACCGAAACCTGCTCAGTAGACGCGCATGCGAACTGGCCAGAATTTTATCAAACATCAAAATGATTAGCGCTTTCATACGTTATAGACCAACAGTACGCCGAGGTAGATTGCAGTTGAATGAACATTGAATAGAACAATGTGAAAAGCACGGTTTTTAATAATCCGTAGCGAAAATAGACATGGTAAAGAAAAAAAAATCTCATTTTTGAAAAGAGAAAATTAAGCACTTTTAAAAAACGAAAAATTTAAAATAAGCCCTTTTAAGCACTTTCTAAAAACGCTACGCACCATGTATTAAGACACACTATAAGATTCTATGTAAAATCTTAATTATCTAGTGATACTTTACAGCTTTATTGTTTTAACGCAGCTGAAATCATTTAGCACTTGTTTAGGTTTGTGTATCAATTGGTTAATATTTGTAATGCAATAAAAGCCCATTACATGTATGTTCAAATATAAAAGTATTGCATATAAACTTGTGCAAAACATACAATTATAAAACACTACAGTGCATCTAATAATTTGGTCTAATTATTATTATATACGAATGCAATACCTGATATAATAAATATTGTATATTTATATCACATATCGTGTAATTTATCCAAATGTCGAATTTATATTATATATAGCTTAATCCAATCGATGCATGAATGTAAACAAATGCAAGCCGGTTTCAGTCGCGTAAAAACAATAAAGCTGTAATTAAGATTTCACATAGAATCTTATAGTGCGTCTAATAATTTGGCCAGGGAGTATTAGGTTAAGTGAGTACAGTCGATTTTCTGCTAGTAATTAAATTATTTCAATATATTGCAAAGTTAAATTATCCTTTTTTTTAAAGGTCAGTGAAAAATTTATGAAATTTGGCAGAATAAGATTTGTAAACCACAAACTTTAATCACAAGGAATCAAAAACCTGGCAGAAAATAAATTATAAAAGTGTTAGGCCTTCATAAATATTTTTGCTTAAATCCTCTACACAAGAGTTCATTTTATAAAAATGACATATTTAAGGGTTTATATTCAAATTACTTATATAGGATAAAAATTTATATTGAAAAGAAAAAAAACTTACTAATTATCTTTCTCTGCTTTTGTAGATATGTTATAGGCTATGATATTCACGGAACCCTCCATAGCATTGTTGCTAGCAGGAACTGATATTTTCCACATGCACAAAGTCTGAGTCGGAACTGATACATTTACCATAAATTGACCAGAAAGATCTTTATCCAAGACATCTCCACATTCTACAATAGAATTTTAGATGAATCAACAAGAAATATTTATTTAGCTCTTCAAATTATGTACCAGACATAGGGAAGAATAGTCATAAAACAAAAATTCCACTTTAGAGCTTTTATTCTTAATATAACACATTCTATTTACCAACCCCCATGATTAATGATCGTATTAATCATCTTTCAGGGTTCCCACACTTATTATCAGAGCAAAAATTAAGGACTTTATTTTTTAAGTCCTTAATTTAAAAAAAAAAACTTATCGCTTATTGTAATGCATACAACTAGTAACCTCAAGTGACAGCATCAATCATTTACTTTTCTAAAAAAAAATTATTAAATTACATTTACTGATATAATTATATGATCTCTTTCATACCCTATTATTTCTTTCAAAATGCTCTATTTTCCAAATAGGGTCTCATTCCAGAAGAAAGGAAGAATGTTTTAATTAAACAGCAAGGGCTCTTCTCCTTGTATGTAGTCCCCCTCGCACGCATCCTTTTTTTAACTCTCAAAAAGTTGCACCCTCTACAGAGATGCCAACTTGCTCCGGACAGCAAATATGTATTTTAAAGTGGTAGTTTATCAATTGTGATTCCTGGTTTAATAAATTCAATTTAGTAGATTTTTATCCACCACTATCTCTAAATAATTCGCGGGCTTATATAATTAAACACTTTATAGTTCTTATGTTATGCTACACCTTTTAAAAAGCAAGCAAAAATGGTCAAATATTTGCAAAATTTACTCTGTAGTTAATTACAGCTTTGTTAATTATTTTGGCATGTCCGGAGCAGTTGGTATCTCTGCCTCTATCCAAGGTCCCATCTCAATATTGGTCTTTAATATTTTTGTAAGACTAAAAAATGGTTAAAATTAAGTAGTGATACTGGAAATTAAGGACTTTTAAAGATCTTGAGCCTAAATTATGTACTTTTAAGGACCTTTATATTCCAAAATAAAAATTAAGCAGTTTTTAAGGACTTTTAAGCACTGTGTTTCTCAAAAGCTGAAATTATTCACATCAAATGTATAAACTGTATAATTAGGAGCAAACCACTAACTCTTATCCAACAAATAATGGTAAATCTCAACAAACAATGACTACTAAAATTTGAAATCCGTGTGACATATATCAATTAAAAAATATCAAAATTTAAAAACGCAATAATGAATGGGAAAGCGTTTATAAAGCGAAGTAGATTTATTATGAAATCAAATAAGTCATAAATAACAACTGAAACTTAAAATTTCCATGTTGTTGCATCGTATAAATAACATCATAATTTAAAAAACCACAGAGTATGGGCTGAAAAAATTCGAAATCACTACGGATATCAAAAGTAATAAAAAACATCTAAATAACGTGAAATTATGAGTGCCAAAAAGAGATCACTCAATTTGGCATGATGTAATAACATTTTGCTTCTTTTTTTTAAAAATCTGATTACAGAAAGAAAAAAATTGCAATTTTTGAAGAAAAAATAATAATAAAATATTGAAGTAAAAATTTTATTTACTCTTTTTCTTTTGAAAAAAAAAGTAAGGACTTTTAATAGAGCTTAGTCCTTATAAGCAAAATTTCCAGATCTGCTGCTTCTAAATGTCTAAACAATATATGAATTTCTTTTCTCCCACAAGACCGATTTTTCTTACACTTTACTTCCTTCGCTCCATTTTTACATAATTTTTAAACGAAAGTTTGAAATTTAAGCAGGGAAGAAAATTGCTATAGTATTGAAGGCACTTTTCCCATATGAAATAACACAAACAGCATGTTATTTTTTTTAAGTTAAGAATTTTAACAATCATTCTTATCTATAAGGTTTAGTTCATTTCAAACCAGTATTTTTGAGTTAAAAAAATTTCAAAATCTGAAACAAAATCTAAATTTGCAATCTAATTTTTAGATACTTGAAATGTTATTTCGCCACTGCATTGTTTGGGCATATGAAAACATGCAAAAATTGAGAATTAAGCTGCGATTTAAATAATTTTTATCTAAGTACAATTTTTGCTAAATAGGAGATTATTTTTTTTTTTAAAAAAAAAACGTTAAATAATTTAGATAATATTTCATAAATTTTCATTTTATTTTTAAATCCAAATTATTTTTTTTACGCAAGACAGTAAAAGTTAAAAGTTTTACTTTGAGTTTAAGACACTCAAACCTTTTGTGTGAACAGTGATATTAAAGTAAATAAGATTTAAAAATAAATATCTCACCAGCAACGGTTCCATTGAGTGTGAAACCTTCAGAAGAAGTGAGTGATGGAGGGGATTTTGAAGTTTTGCACTTATCAGATATGAACTCCACGAATGAACCATTAGAAACAAAAAGATCATCCGGTAAATTAGAGCCACTGTACTCTAAGGTAGTATTTTTCTTGGTGTTGAAAATTCTGATGCAATGTTCTGGTACCAATGACATCTTATTGAATGTTAGGTGAATCAAACTATCCTTTGGTGCAACAATAGTCCAGTTACAGTTAGAGAACAGGGGATAAGTGTCAGGGAAGAGAGGTGATGTAATGTGAAAGGTTTCCAATGCTTTCAAGTTCAATATACCACCACAAACTGGAAATGAAATTTAGATAAAAAAAAACAAATATTAGATATTTAGTAAACAGTACCTAAGGGCGCAATACACAATTGGTTGTTATTTGCTAGTAGTCACCTATGTCATAATTAAATTTTTTATTTACTCATTTCATAAGGAATAAAAATTATACATGCAAATATCTTGATAAGAAAAATGTCTTTTATTACTCTACCGTTAAACTGGCTCATAAATAAATAAGATAAGGCATTTGTAGTTACACCATTTTCTTAAAATGAGTCAAATTAATAAATGGCATCCTAATAATCATAGTTTTGGTCTCAAAATTCTAATAAATTATTCAGCTGTTTTATATCAAAAAGTTTTCAGAAAAAAAATGAACAACAAATTAATTTGGAACAGGAAATGATAAAAAATAGACCAGAAAATAAAAAGTTATTCAAATACTAGTTAAGTACAAATTTATATAAATTTCAAAAAGTTCTTAAGTTTTCTTAATTTCAGTAAACAAAACTGAAATCTGTAACAATTACAGAAATTCATTCCAGCTGTATTGGAATATATTAGCTGCACATGGAAATCACTATTAAGTTTAAAATGTAAGTGAAACTAATTAGGAATACAATAATAATTACCTGGGATGAAGCTAGAGTGTCCAACCAAAACAACATTGTCAGGTTTAACGCAAGCTTTACGAGTAATCCGGACCATTGCACCAGTCGAGGCTGGGATACTCAATTTGGGTACATTATTTTGGGAGACATCAAAGTTACCTATTTGTGTTCTATCAGCATCTAACTTGTATATCACAACAGAATCATCTTTAGACAAAGATATATACTGGAGGTGTAACAAAAGAGCTGCAATAAATCGCAAACAAGATTAAGGATTGTAATGATTAATGTGCAAAAGCAAAAATGAAAATAAACTGATTTTGTTTTAGTTCACAGAATATTGCAAGTCAAATAGTGCGGGGAAAATTTCAAGCGTCATTCACATGAAAAGTTTAACTTTAATTAGAATTTTTAAAAAAAGTCATTGTTTACACTTTAAACCAAACAAGTATTTGTAAGGAAATCACTACAAATTTATATGGGAATTTATATATTTAATGCTGATATATAAATTTATATATTACTACCTATAAGTGCTCCCGTTTAGGTATAGTAGTGCAAAACGCACTACTAAGAAATTGAAAAAAGTTTGATTTGTTATTTATAAAAATTAAGTTGTTTTGATTTTGATCACATGACAAAAAATTTAGAACTATTTCACATGCAAATGTATTTACATCCTTACGGTTTAAATAATTTTTCATGATTTTAACAAAGATAATTGTTTCCATACATCTTGAAGTTTACTGCCCCACAAAAATTCCATTTATTCACTTGAAAAAAAAACTTTAAATTATTGTTGTAAAGTTTCAATTAAAAATGAGCAAGAGAAACAAAGTTTGTGATATATAATGCTTGCTTTCATAATTTTGTATCAAATTTAAAAAAAACAAAGAAACAAAAAAAACAAAACAAAAAAAAAAAAAAAAAAAAAAAAAAAAAAAAAAAAAAAAAAAAAAAAACAGAGCAACTTTTTATTTTACTCAGATTTACTCTCATATATGATTATAGTAGTATAAAACAGAATCATTATAATGATTGATGACACCATTTATTTACATGGAAATAGATTAGTGTGAAGAAGTTAAGCTTTGTAGACAAAATTTTTTCAGAAAATTTTTTAAACTTAACAAAAACTAAAAATAGAGCAAAATAAATATTGAACTAAAGTAAAAGACAAGTGCAAATAAAATAGGACTAATTGTTTACATACTGGAGCCAGGAATGTTTTGAGGAGGAATAATCCACATGCAAGTGTTATTGCAGTTCCCAGATAACACATAATTTTCATTGGTAAGTGTACTCATATGCATACAACCTATATAAAAAATAATAAATAAAAAAACCCAGTTATTTTCAGTGCAACAAAATTATTTAAATGCAAGTCTGAAATTTCAAGTCAAACATTATTCTTTTATGAGCATTCTATTTTTATTTCTAAAGGATTAAGTTTCGTGGTCCTTAATCAAGATGCTTTTACTCCTAATTTAGCTATCGACAATTTCAGTTTGTCCTAGTTTTTTTAATATACACTATATAAGATTAATTAAATATTAATAATTGGAAAATCTGTAAAAAATGAGTGATGTGAAGCAAAATTTTCTGTTTTTAGCGGTTGCTTCTAACCCCTCTTAAGGAGCAATTATTGTCAGTGCTCTAGAATAAATCTTGCAGAAAGAAATTAGAGTAGCTTTATTTCACAAGTATTGGGAGAAGTTATGCAATGAACAGCAATCTCATCACATTAAATAATTTCTCATACCATCAAGTTCGAAGGACAATTTCTATTTATTTACATTTTCTTTTATATTAATAATATATATACTATTAAATATAACTGCTAATACATACTTATTAATTATGATTAAAGTAATAGAATAGATTTTAAGTAAGGTGTATAAACTGTGCATATTCTAACCACTTACTTCATAGTTTGTGTTTACACATGTCTAAAAAGAATAGGAGCATAACACTTGCTACTTGAGCTCACACTTTTTTTTCTTCTTCGTAAATATTACTCTTTGAATTTGAAAATAATTTTTCATTTTGAATTGGTTAGGGCAGTAATTAACTAGGGAATGAGAAATAGGTCACATTTATTTATTACCCTCATTGTGCATATTTAATTTATTCATATTTTGATTGAGTACAAAATGGGGAATTGATTGAGTACAAAATTTGGGAACAAAAAAATTCCAATTCTACATGCATTTAAACTTGAAAAACTTATCAAATGATACGCTATAAATATGCGGTTTAAAATGCACATCAGGTATTTCATTGTTGCATTTATAAGTTAGATTTAATTTGTAACATGAAATTACATCATTTTCAGTTCTCATACTAGATTTTGGAGGTTTGAAACAAGTTTTGACACTATACTCTGTTGCTAGTTAAGAAAAAACTATAGTCTTTATGAAGAATGCCTGTTTGCATCTAAGTGCACGCCAAATGAATACTAAGCTTTCAATGTGAATTTATATCAACATAGCCAACTCACAAAACATTGCACAGCCTTCCTTTTGTTTGTTTTCCTAAATCGTGTGAAGTGAGGAAAATAAAACTTATTGTTTGTTAATATTTAACTTTTGAAAGAATAATAAATATGTTTTTTTTGCAGACAATTTTCTTCTACAGCATAACGAAGTAAAAAAAATTTTATCTCTCATTTGATTTGTTAAAAGGATGTTAGTATAAGACGCACCATTTTTAGTGGTCCAATCAAATCCAATGCTCTAGTGACGTTGTATAGTTGTTTCCTTATCAAGAGCGAATGTTCTCCTTATTTATTGAAATATGTCACCAAGTCCAGGATTCCAGTACTACGAAACTTAACCCTTCTTAATTATTATATGACTATTGTAAAAGATAACACGAATTAAATTTCTGGCAAGAGAGTTTAACTTATATATTGTTTATGAAGCACATTTATATCATTTGACAGAACTAACAATACTAAATGCAGTCGCAGGTAATAACTAAAATTCTATACCACAATGGTCTTTTTCTTAATATGCAACAGAGTATAGCAATGTTAAATTTAAATCAGCTTTTAATTTTAAAAAATCTAATTTTAGTTAATGTATAATAAACTAAACTAGATTTTTTTAGGCGATTAAATCGTAACTTTAAAAATGACAGAGATGTTAATGAATATATGATGACAGAGTTTGTATTTAAATGAAAGAGACACATTATCAAATTTATCACTATTAACAACACCTTATCAGCATTAACAATTAAACACCTTTAAACATTATCAATATTCTTACAGAAAAAAATGTGCAGGATGTTTAAGATAATAATGATTCCAGAACCTAAGAAAGTGTATGAAAAAACTGAGACATAAGAATGGAACATGCTAAAAACCTAAATTCTTATCTTTAAAAAGGAATTTAACAATCATTTAAAAATGAAACTAAATATAAGCTGAACACTTATCAAGCATTTTAAAAAAAATTATGAATTAAGAAAATATATAAGGTTAAAAGTTTAATATATACAGGGTAACTGCTACATTTTAGATTTTCAAATTCATGACTAATTCCAATAATTTTTCATGACTAAACGAAATTACTATTTTTCCAACAAAAACACAACAATAAATTTAAAAAGCATTATAATGACATTAAATTAAATGACAGGTATAAACAAAACTGTTACACTCTGCATCTTCATGTTTATAGATTTTAAATTTAAAAAATAGAGTAAAGTAAGAGTTGAAGCAATAAAATAGCTGAAAAAAATAAAAAACCAAATATTTTTTTTTCTGCAAAATTATATTCTGAAGATACTTTTTTTGTTCACCCGAAAGAAAAGAAATACTCCTGATTTTTCAGTTCTCATTTCCGAATTTAAAAAAAATTCGCCAATGACTGGCTTGCTTCAGCTAGAATTTTAATTAGATAAAATAAAAAATAAATAAACAATTATAATAATTCTGAAATCCCAGAAGATTAAAAGATGATTTGCTCTAGAAAAGTTTTTCTTTCATTTTTTGAAAGAACACCATAATTTTTAAAGAGCATGATAAAAATGTTTTATATTGTAATAAAATATGACTGTGAGTGGGAATTTTGTTACAAATTGAGATATTCGGAACACCAAAAAATTGGAGGGGGTTATTCCATTTTAAAAATAAAATTTTTCGGCGACCTAAATCCATGATTTTTTTAAAAAAATAATTAAAATTATGACATTTCATGACAAATTTTGTTCAATACCAAAATTCCTGACTTTCCAGGTGCGCAGATACCCTGCATATAAGGTTAAAGGTTTTATAAGGTTAAAATGAAAAGCTTTCACTCACCAGGTGAGACTCCTTTAAAATCAGCCTCAAAAGAACCTGCACTGAAACCAGTAGCAATGATCATCATCTTGGAGCTTTGTGACAAGATGGGATACCACACATCACCATGAAGAGTTGTGATCACATTGCTTAAATCAAACCCATCATAGATAGTCAAAGTAGCAGGTGATTTAAACGCAGATACAGTGAAGTTTAACAAAACAACTTCCGTTTCGTTGACATCCAGCATGAATATTGTATCGTTGCCAACTGTTTCTTGCATTCTTATGTGTCCACTGTCTACATAATGTCCACCTTGCCCTAAATTTTTAAATAAAAATTTATGTTAAATTATGGAAGAATTATACCTTCAATTAGAATTATGGAACTCAGAAAAACTCAGAAATATTACTCGTCCCGAGGACGGCTTGTCCAACTATGTACCCGTCCTCCTTTGAAACTAACCCGTAGCTTCTAAATAAATAAAAATATAATTTTCTCTTATTTATTACAAACATTTATATAAATTGCCCAATGAATTAGTAGTTACTAGGATTACATTATACAGTAATAAAAGAAATACTAGGTTACTAATAGTAACCTAGTATTTCTTTTATGAAATAATTTAAATGACAAAGGTAAAGTTATCTGGAATGTCAATTTATCTGAGGGTACTGTGTTTTGTAAATGAATCAAATATGACGTTTGCCAGTACCCCTATCAAGTCAATGATTTACAGAGGTTTCTGCACAGAAATCCGTAAGGGGTTTTCCATTTAGGTAGATGTTCATAATTGCGGTTAAAGACCATTTTTTCTATCACCACTCTTTTCTGTAATGGTTTTAACCTTTTTATTGGAATCGTTTCTGATACCAAAATAATTGCTAATGCTTTGCTGCCGATTCATCTTTTTGCCAAATATGCCGAGAACGGTAATGCAAGCGGAGACGGGCTGCAGTCGTTTTCGCATTTTATTCTCTATGATAGGGGTGCACAACCTGCGGCCCGCGGGTCTAAATGCAGCCCTTCGACTACTGAAGTACGGCCCGCGAGAGCTTCCAAACACAATAAAAAAATTTTAAAAAATGGCATTTTTTAATCTCACTTTTAAGTCATCACGTTTTGACACAGTCAATTTTAACAGATTCTTTAGTAAATGTACCTTTAACGCGCTTTCTTTAAGCCGATTTTAGAGTAAATATAAATGATTTTTTTTAAACAGTTATTTCCGCCTTTCTACGTGATTTCGAAAATCCCGAATTTTTATTACGACGCGAGTTTCAGATCGCAAATTTAAAT